GCAACAGTCATAAGTATGAGGACTAGCTGTAAATCACACTTTCCAGCGTCGTCGTAACTTCCAATAGCTGCTAAACAAATGGTTATAAGTCGAGGACTAACTGTACCTAAGCGTAAAGTGCTCTTGTTTAACCTGATTCGGGTGAGATAAAAGAGCAGCGTGGAAGAAGGACTGATCTCTAGTAGAAGATTTTCTGTAATATTGTATGACTGAGATAATATGCCCCCAAGGTTGAAAATACTAAAAATAAAAAGCTACATAAATACTATATATTATTTATTCATGACACAAAACACGGCCCAAACACCAGCTTTCCCAAAAAAGCACACACCACCACAGGCAGGCCTGAGGGAAGAGATAACCTTCTTAAAACTACAATTAACATAATGTTCATAGCTGGATATATCAGCTTTCTTGAGATAAACCAAACCATCCGAAAAGAGAGAAAAAAACAGCTTTCATGTTTTCCAGAACTTTTTCATAAACAAAATGGCAATTCAGGCAAGTTCTGGGACTGTAAAGACCAGAGGCTTGACATCAGGGGGTGGGCGGCTGCTGGGGGTCTGCAGGGGTTCGGGAGAACCTGTAGCTAAGATTCTGTGCAGTTTGGAGAATCCCCAAATCCCACTCCTCGCTGGACCTGCCCTGCCCTGCCCTCCCCTTCCAGGAGTCCCCACGCGGCCCATTTTGGATGCAGGAAAGTGCAGGGCATGCGCAGAGGTTCGGGGACGGTGAAAAACAGGCCTACCGGAAGTTCGGGAAAGCCAGAAACGGGCCCGTTTCCAGCCACCAGAGGACCTCCGGAACCCGGAAGGCCGTTTTCGCCCTCCCAGAGGCTTCAGGAAAGCCTCAGGAGTCCAGAGAGGGCAAAAATGCCCCCTCCGCCGTAGTGCAGGAGGCTAACTAGCCACGCCCACCATGGCCACACCCACCCAGCAACCAGGCAGAGAACCCCTTGCTAAAATTTTTGAAGCCCACCCCTGCTTGACATCCCAGGTTTCTAGATTAGAATCAAGACTCAAAAAAGGTACTTCAAGGCACACTGTTGCAAGCACGGATAATCCTCGAAATATAACATTCCTTTAGTGACTGTTTGAAGTTACAATGGCATTGAAAAAAAGTGACCTATGACCATTTTTCACACTTAAGACCGTTGCAGCAACCCCATGGTCACGTGATCAGAATTTGGACGCTGGGCAACTGGCATGTATTTATGATGGTTGCAGTGTCCGGGGGTGGGGTGGGGGGTGGGGCTCCTGTGATTACCTTTTGTGACCTCAGATTCACTTAACAACCGTGTTACTAATTTAACAACTGCAGTAATTCACTTAACAACTAAGGCAAGAAAGGTCATAAAATGGGGAGGAACTCACTTAACAATTGTCTGGCTTAGCAACAGAAATGTTGGGGTTAATTGTGGTCATAAGTCAAGGACTGCCTGCATCACATACATTACCATTCTGGGACAATGTAATAATGGAACTGTGAAAGGGACATACACAATCCTTCACAGAGTAATTTTCTGCATAGCTACTCAGCAATAAATCCTCAGAAGCTTACTTCCAAATAGGTGTGGATAAAACTGCAGCCTTAACCTCTCGTGGTCTGTAATAACACCACCTATATCAGGGGTCGGCAACCTTAAACACTCAAAGAGCCACAAAGGTCCTAACTGGAAGCCCCCATTCAGTTCTGGAGCCGACCGGAAGTCTCCTCCTAGTGCAGCATCCTTTTTCCTCTGCCGACCAGAAGTCTGGTTCCCCCACCATAGAGTCTCCTCCTAGCACAGCATCCTTTTTCCTCTAACCCTCCTAACCGAAAGCCCTATCAATTGTGGAGCCGACTAGCAACAGGGAGCCGCAGCACAGGGATGAAAGAGCCACATGTGGCTCCAGAGCCGCGGGTTGCTGACCCCTGGCCTATATGCTACCCAACTCTGGACAGCTCACAACAATCAAATTTCAATCAAATCAATTGAATGTAAAACATAAACCTAAAAGATGGGAGGACAAAAATGGCTTGAGCTTGAACGAAAATAACTTTTCAATTCCAAGTTCAAAAAGTCTCAACATGCTGCAAAACATAGTATTGTTTCAATAGAAGAGAATATTTGTAGCTCAGGGTTAAACTGTGGGGTCCTTGTTGCTCTCGGAGCTTGGTGGGTTTCTTGCAGATGATTCATTTCCAAACTAGTTAACATCATCAGTGCACTGATGAGATTACCTATTGTGTTTCCCCGAAAATACGACCTACCCCAAAAACAAGCCCTAGCCCGATTTTCATGCCTGCACCTAATATAAGCCCTATCCCAAAAATAAGTCCCGCCCACCATCTGGTTGTATGAGGTGGGGTGAGGCACAGGTGTAAAAATCAAGCTAGGTGTTGTGACCCCGACTCCCGAGCCTGTCCTAACAGAGGAAGAGGACTTAAAAGGTGATGGGGAGGAACTAACAAGGCCTCCCTCTCCAGGACCCTCCTCTCTGGCAATGTCTCAGGTTTCATCCAAAGGCCAAGAGGAACAGCCTGGGATATGCCAGGAGGAAAGCATATCGGAACAACAACAGATAGGGAGCGAGGATGATGAATCCTGGCTTGATTCCAGGCAGCGTCGGAGGGAGAAGCGTGCGCAGCAACGAAAGAGGCGTGGAAGGGCCAGAGATTGAGCTGAGTCACTGAGCCACACCCCACAAGGAATAAAAGTGGGTGTGATTGCTCTTCAGGCTTTGTGACGGTCAAAGTTAAAAACCTGAGAGTCACATCACGTTACCTGAAATCTGGCTTGTACATATTTGGATTGGACCTTGGCTAACTCTTGCTTCGTGGATTACTTTTTGCTACTGGACCGGACTGAGGATAAACTCTCTCTTGCTTACTGTGAGTGAAAACTGACTTGGCAGGCTTTACGCAGTTTACTGCCAAAACTCTTATCTGCAAGGTTTTCTAGTCTGATTTGGCAGGTGTGCCTGGTTGTATGTTTGCCTGTGTGGGGAAGGGGGACAGAACACTAGGGCAGGGGTGTGAGGGGGTGGAGCTCCAGGTCTTATTTTCAAGGGATGTCTTACCCGCTTACCTTAGGACCACTGCAACCATGGCTACCATTCCCTGACATCTGTCACGCCGCTGCCTGACTTCCGCTCGTGGCTAGATGTCGCATGGTTCGTTGTGCTGGTACCGCCACTCGCTTGCGCAATGACACAACACACCACGTAGCCTCCTACCGCGAGTGATGGTACCATGTGGCGTCTGGCCCCGAATGGCTGTGAGTGGCCCCAGAAATCAGGCAGCGATGCGACAGGTGTCAGGGCATGGGAGGCGTGGTTGCAGTGGTTCTAAGGTAACCGGGTAAGACATCCCCCCAAAATAAGACCTGGTGCTTATTTTGGGGCTGAAAAGAAAATAAGACTGGGTCTTATTTTTGAGGAAACATGGTAGTTTGGAAATGAAACATCTGCAAGAAAACCACCAAGCTCCAAGAGCAACAAGGACCCCAAGACTACTGTTTGTGAAACATCATCTAGTTTTTTATAGCTTTTAAAATCTCTCCTAAAAAGCAATGAAACTCTATTTTCAAGAGAAAAGAAATGATTGCCGCTTTTGAAGCGGAACAAAATGCATTTGGCGTAAAACTGTACAAAACATTCTGAACTCAAAACAACTCAAGCTTGAAATAGATGAAGTGGATTATTCGGACTTCATTGGAAGTTTTCAAGCTTTAAATGGCCTTGTTTCGCACTCAGAATATTTTCAGTGAGGCTAATGCGCATTTATTAATTTTATACAGTATAAAATTATAGGGAAAAGCCTAACTGATGGGATTATTAGAACCAGAGATTTTGGAGAAAGAATTTCAAATGCATTGCTTATAGTCCTCAAGATATCTGTGAGCAGAATATGAAAAACCTGATATCAAGAAAACAGTGTGCAAGAAATTCTCATTGACAAGCAGTAAAATTCCAGCATAATTTTGGAGAATATTTTTTTAAAAAATGCAGATTTCCCCGCAAACTATTTGGCTCCATAATGTTCTGTGAAATCCATCCATTTTCACCTCCACCCATACAACACAAGTTACTTTCCAGAGGAGAAACAATATAGGATATACCAGTAGTCATCAGATTATGACCATTTGTTTTAATGAAGTTATAATGACATGTAAAAGGTAATTTGCGGTTGGTCCTCATACTTATAACTAATCCTCACATTTACGACCACCACAGCATCCCTATGGTCATGTGATCAAAACGTGGGCACTTGGCAACTGGCATGCATTTATGACAGTCACAGCATCAGAGTCACCTTGAGGTAAGATGGGTGGCCTATAAAATGCATGCATGCATGCATGTATGTATGTATGTATGTATGTAATGTGTTTTCCCAAAAATAAGACCGGGTCTTATATTAATTTTTGCTCCAAAAGACGCATTAGGGCTTATTTTATGATTAGGTCTTATTTTGGGGAAAATATGGTACTAAATGCATCCGACTGGCAATCTTAACTGAGGCTTATTTTGGGGGTAGGTCTTATATTACGAGCATCCTGAAAAATCATGCTAGGACTTATTTTCCGGTTGGGTCTTATTTTCGGGGAAACAGGGTACGCACACACACACACACACACAATAAATAAATAAATAACATCACCATTTGCAACCTTCCTAAGGGGCTCCCAACAAGCAAAGCCAATGGGGAAAGCGAAATTAACTTAACAATTGCATGCTTCACTTCATGACCATGGGAATTTGCTTAGCAACCATAGCAAGGTCATAAAATTTGGTGCAACTCACTGAACGACTGCATTTCTTAGCGACAGAAATTCTGATCCCAATTGCGGTCATAAATCGAGGACTATTTGCACGTGTGTGTTTTTTTTCTTGCCTAATGCCGTTTTTCGGCATGAAACTCTTAGTTCATAATTGCAATAATTGGTTTTTCTTTTTTTAAATCTATTCCCAGGCCCAAAATTGAAGATGTGAATTCCCCAACATACCAAACGATCTTACCTGTGTGGCTAAGTTTTCCCCAGGTCACCGTACTCAGGTAATAGTTTAAAGCCGCACCGGGCTCCTGTTTTGTAATTGCATCAGAGACCAGGATAGTGTTGTTCAAATCGATGTGCAAAATCAGCTTTCGCTTCTTCGGGCTCAAGATTGGCCCAGGAAGAAGTCTAGAAGGAGTGGTGGCTCCCAAGAGCTCGCAAGCTATTTTGTCTTTGTCTTGCACCCTTTCGGGAGACCGATCCTGTGGCCCTTCTGCACAGCCGACCATCTCAACTTGCTCCCCAGAACTTCTGAGGCTGTTCTCACAGATGTTCATCCCAGAAAGAGAATTTTTTCTCTTCCTCTTGCTGGTACTGCTGGAGATAGGTTTTGCGTCTTCCAGTCCAATTGTCACCTCATCACGTAACGGCATCTGCTCAGGTCTTAAAGTGCCTCTGTTGGACAAATTGTCTTTCTCCATCCAATGGTCCGAAGGATTTTTGTCCCTCAAATCCCGTGGGACATGCTGGGCTGGGATAAATTAGAAAAAAGATGAGAGGTTGCTTCCGGCTCACATGTGGATGAGTATTATTATTAACATACAAATCACCACATCTTTATCTTATACAGTATAGTGATTTACCATAGGAGTATGCAGTTTGGATTAAAAAAGAATAGATTACAGAGATGCTCACACAGCCTCTGTTGGTATCTCCTTAAAGCAGCTTCAAACAACAGTAGCACATACTTGGAAGAACAGTCATTTAATATAAGGAATTGCTGAAAGAGGATATAAACATACCGATGTGCCAAAAAAACCCCACCTGCCTTCAAATCCAAAACCCTGCATAGCCCTAATTTATATTCATTGATTTAGGTCTTCAAAATCCAGTCTCACTCAGTGGTGACAGTCATCACACAGAGGCTTGGCAAACTAACTTCTCCACATAGTTGAAATTCGGTTGATGAAGAAAAACTGGATTCAGTAGACAACTGAACTATTCTTTTTCCTTTATTTACACACTTGCTACTTTTCACTAGCCTAGTGACAAAAGGAGTAGGGGTAACATGATAGCAGTATTCTAATATTTGAGGAGCTGCCACAGAGAGGAAGGGGTCAAACTATTATCCAAAGCACCTGAAGACCAGACAAGGAACAATGAACAAGGAGAGATTCAACCTGGAAAATAAGGAGAAATTTTCTGACAGTGAGAGCAATCAACCAATGGAACAGCTTTGCCTTCAGAAGTTGTGGCAGCTTCACCACTGGCAGCTTTCAAGAAGAGACTGGGCTGTCATCTGTCAAAAATGGTGTAGGGTCTGCTTGGGCGGGAGACGGGGTGGACTAGATGACCTACAAGGTCCCTTCCAACTCTGTATCTAAAGAAGAGAAGGTGAACTTATTCTCCAAAGCACCAGAAGGCAAGATAAGAAACAATGGATGGAAACTAATCCAGGAGAGAAGCAACCTGAAACTAAGGAGAAATTTCCTACCAGTGAGAACAATTAACCAGAGGGAAGGCTGGCCTTCAGAAGTTGTGGGTGAACCATCACTGGAGGTTTTTAAGAAGGAACTGGACAACTATGTGTCTAAAATGGTATAGGATATCCTGCTTAAGCAGGGGGTTGGATTAGAAGACCTCCAATGTCACTTCCAATTCTCTTATTCTGTTACTATCATCATTCTCTTGAGATTAATCTAAAACACTAAATTTAATTTAGCCAAGGCAGGGTTCCAGTTCCTGACATACCTTGCTGATCTAGGAATTGCCACTAAAGAGCAGCCTTTGCCAAATCGATCCGCTCCAGCTCTGTTGGACTTCAGATTTTGTTATCCCCATCCTAAGTAAATTACTCTTGTAAATATACCATAAGCCATTAACAGGGTGTGAATGTGGGAGTAGGGCGGTGTTTTAAAGAGGATTAGTCATTGCCAAATCCATGCAAATTAGAATCAGCTCTGTAACTCCTGACAATTTAATATGGAAGCTCAGCATTCGTAGGACATCCTATGAATGTCATAATCCCTTCTCACATGTATTTCTCATCGCGGCTTACATCACCCTACTTCTCATCTTTCCAAGAAAAAACCAAGTCAAGTTGTAACTTGGAATCCTGGAATCAGAGTATGTCAACAGATAGCACCTGGGAGGTTTTTAACTTCCCATTGAAACAATATACAGGTAGTCCTTGACTTACAACAGATCGTTTAGTGGCCGTTCAAAATAACAACGGCACTGAAGCGACTTATGACCCGTTTTTCACACTTACGACCTTTGCAGCATCCCCATGATCATGTGATCAAAATACCAGCTTGGCAACTGGTTCATATTTATGACCGTCGCTGTGGCTCAAGGTCACGTGATCCCCCTTTTGCGACCTTCTGACCAGCAAAGTCGATGGGGAAAGCAAGATTCACTTAACAACTGGGTTACTAACTTATCAGCTGAAGTGATTCACTTAACAACTGTGGCAAGAAAAATCGTAAAATGAGGCAACCCACTTAACAAATGTCTCACTTAACAACATAAATTTTGGGCTCAATTGCGGTCGTAAGTTGAGGACTACCTGTGTAGCGATTGATAATATTCATCCCTAGGAGCGAAAAGGGACCCCCATTTATGTGCCCAAAAATAATAAAATTCTGCAATCACTGAAGTGGTATATAGCTTAGTCCCGTGATGGCGAACCTGGCACATGGAGCCATACTGGTGGGCACATGAGCGTTGCCGTAGCTCAGCTCCAGCACGCATGCGCGCGCTGGCCAGCTGATTTTCGGGCCTTCTGGGCCCACCGGAAATCAGCAAATGGGCTGTTTCCAGCCTCCAGAGGGCCTCTGGGGGTGGTAGGGAAGGCTGTTTTCGCCCTCCCCAGGCTCCTAGAAAGCCTCTGGAGCCTGGGGAGGGTGAAAAACGGACATACCGGGTCCACCGTGCCATCACATGCCAAAAGAGGGGGGAGCATGGGGGGGTCGCGCGCATGCACGGGGGGGCAGGGCGCATAGAATTATCGGTGTGGGCACGCACACGCGCGACCACCCCGCATTCCCCCCACTTTTGGTACGCGATGGCAAAAAGGTTAGTCATCACTGGCCTAGTCAGTGGCACCAGTATAATAAAGTCTTACACCAACTCAGAGAGTAACTCTCAAAAGTAACTCTATTGGCCTATTGTAAGGTTTTAAAAACCTAGCTGTCTTCCAGAGTCTGGAGTGCTGAATGTGCTAAACCACTCTTTTATTTTGGCTTTGGTGTTAACTATATGGTTTATTATCTCAACTGCTGTGTATATTTATTTTGGATATTATTGTTTTAAATGTTTTTATTGTTTTAGTTGTGTTTATTGTTTTGAAATTGTAAACTGCCCAGAGTCAAACAAAACTGGCTTGTAGCAGTTTTTGACACACACACACACAAAAAAACCCAACCTAAACATATGGAGAGAGCCAGTTTGGTGTAGAGCAGGGATCCCCAACTCCCGGTCATGGAAGGTTCGGAACCGGGTCGCACAAACGATGGGCAGTCCATGTGCGCGCACAGCTCTACTTGTGCAACTGGCGGCTGCTCATGCTCGCTCACAAAGCCCCATTTGTGTGAGCGGCGCTCGTGTGTGCGCCTGCCACTTACACAGAACCATCCCCTCTCCGCCCCCTCCCAGGCCACCAAGCTGGAAAAGTTTGGGACCACTGGTGCAGAGGTTAAGGCATCAGGCTAGAACTGTGATGGTGAATCTATGACACGTGTGTCCAAAATGGCACACGGAGCCATGTCGCCTGGCACGTGCGGCATCGCCCATTCCTCTTCCGGTTTTCTGGCGTGCATGCGCATGCAATGATCAGCTGGCCTTTGTGTCTGTGGCAGTGCTGGAAACCAGAACAGCTGGTCTTCCGTTTTCCAGCTTGAGCATGTGTGCTGGCCAGCCGATCATTGTGTGTGCATGGGAGATAGCAACCAAAAGATTTGCTGGCTGGCACGCATGCATGCCCCAGAAACCGGAAGTACATTATCCGGTGTGCACATGCCCCCTGGGCAGTTCCTCTTCCTAGTTGCGGGCCTGACGAGAGAGCGCAAAGCTCCCTTTTTCGGCATTCGGTGCTGAAAAGGTTCGTCATTCCTGGGCTAGAATATAGGAGCCTATGAGTTCTCGTCCTGCCCTAGGCATCAAGCCACCTGGGTGACCTCGGGCCAGGCCCTCTCTCAACCTTAGGGAGAAGGAAAAGGAAAGGGCAATTCACTTCCAAAAATTTTGCCAAGAAAACTGCAGGGATTTATCCAGGCATTTGATACAGGTATTATTCGACTTACAACAGTTTGTTTAGTGACAGCACTGAAAAAGTGACTTATGACCATTTTTAATGGTCACTGATCTGATTTTGATCACGATTCCCCATGGTCATGTGATCAAAATCCCAACACTTGGCTACTACATAAACCACTTAAACCAAAGCTACATAAACCATATTTAGGATGGTTGCAGTGGCCCAGAGTCATGTGATCACTGTTCATGGTCTTCTGACGAGCAAAGTCAAAAGGGAAGCCAGATTCAATTAACCACCATCTGACTAATTTAACAAGTGCAACAACAGTGGGAAGAAAGGCCATAAAACAAGGCAAAACTCAACTGTCTCCCTTAGCAACAGAAATTTTGGGCTCAATTGTGACCGTAAATCGAGGATTACCTCTACTAACTCGAAGGCACAAAACAAAAATACATGCACTTATCCTAAAGGCAATAACCATAAACATCCGTGGGAAGGATGCTTCCTGAACATTTTATTACTATAACCATGTTGCTTGTATCTTTCAATTATAATGTTTTTATTTATTTCCTTGTACGATTTGATAGCTGATTAGTAAGCTTGATTATCACTAAGTGTTGTATCTTTTTATTCTCGATGAATGTATTTTATTCTCCTTATGTACACTGAGAGCATAGGCACCAAAGACAAATTCCTTGCGTCTCCAATCACACTTGGCCAATAAAGAATTCTATCCTATTACATAAGGAGCCTCGCAAGACAATTGCTGGTGATTTCCCCATTGTGATGCCCCAAACAGACCCTTCCTCTCGTTTTCCACCTGTCAGTTTTTTCCAAGGGCTGCTGTCGTCATAACTTCTCTGAATTTCTCACCCCGACCTGCTCGCTCCCTTTTACACAGCACGGGAAAAACCTAATTATAGCTCGGGCTCCCCCACTATACAAAGCAGCGTAGTTGAGTGTTATACAAAGCGCTTAGCAAGCATGCACTCACACACACCCCTAGCTTTTTAAAAAATAAGCACGAAAAGGGATGCAAATGCAATCTCATTTAAAAAAAAAAAAAATTAAAAATCCCAGGGAGGAAAAAGAGACCACCAGAAGATCCCCGGTGCCCACGACCTTCCATTTATACTGGGGGAGGGGGGGAGGATCCTTGGGGTTCAGCTCCTGCTTTTGCTTGCTCCCCTTTCTTTCCTACCCCAAAAAAGAGCCGAGACCCAGCTCGCCCTCTGACCGGAGAAAACGATCCCTCTTTGTCCCGCATGTAACATTACCAAATTCCCGACACCCGGCTTCTCACTTCCTCTCTCCGGAGCTCTCTCCATGAACTCCATGAGTAAATGTTTAACTCCGGTTCCTAGAAAGTCCCCTGGCTTTGAACTTCCTATATCGAAGCCGACGTAGGTAGCGCCCTCTAGTGACCGGAGGCAACTGGACTTTTTTTGGGTTCTTTCCTTTGAAGACATTTCGCTTCTCATCTGTAGGAAGTTAGCACCCATCCCTTTCCTAGAGGAATGAAATATTTTGGGAAATATTAAAAAGGCAGAATATTGTGTTTCCCTAGATGAGAAATGGAGAAGCATGTTTTAAAAGAGGAAGCAGCTCCCATCCTCCTGCCCCCACCCTTTGTCAAGGGGCCAGAGGCAGAAACTCAATCTTTGTCAATGGACCATCATCTGCAACTCAATAGGACCCATCTATCAACAGAAACTCATCACATGGCACCTGGGAAGATTACATCAGCCGGCAAGGCTAGCTAAGACCCCCACCCCCTGGGAGTCTGACAACCAATCAGGATACTCTTTCTGGGCCCCAGGATGTTCAAAGCCAGAGAGGGCATAAAACCCCGGGACTCACAGCATCTCCCCCCTTTTCTGTTCAGGAACTCAAACCATGTGATCCTGTCCACCATTAAACCATCTTTCCAAGCAGTCTCCATGTTTCCATGTCTTTTTCCCTACTTGGAGCTGAACCCAGAAGGATATTTCTCCCTACACATCCAAGAAGCTTCTTCAGTTCTGACAGGATGATGGGGAATGGAACAGTGGTGGGTTTCAAATTTTTTTACTATTGGTTCTGTGGCTGTGGCTTAGTGGGCATGGCATGGCTTGCTGGGCGTGGCAGGGGAAGGATACTGTAAAATCTCCATTTCCTACCCACTCCAGGGGAAGGTTACTGCAAAATCCCCATTTCCTCCCGATCAGCTGGGACTTGGGAGGCAGAGAATAGATGGGGGCGAGGCCAGTCAGAATTTTTACTACCGGTTCTCCGAACTACTCAAAATTTCCGCTACCGGTTCTCCAGAACTGGTCAGAACCTGCTGAAACCTACCTCTGGAAAGGAAGGATTTATATTCCTTGCAGACAGCTAGACATTTGCATCCACACTTGGAGGTTTATCTGTGTCCTCAGGGTCACCTGAGTTATGCAAATAGTTCCTGTAATCTGCAATTTTTTTCCTCTGGAAATCCATTCCTACTCCCACACCAAGGATGCTCATCCCAAATTGCATAGCTAAAAATCTGTAGAGATTCTCAGTCATCCAGGTTATGGTTATCCCAAAGGTGTTTTTTTCAGGAGGCAACTGGACTTTCTTATTTTTCCTTTGAAGACACTTCTCTTCTCTTCCAAGAAGCTTCTTCAACTCTTCTTAGATGAGAAGCAAAATGTCTTCAAAGAAAAAACAAGGAAGTCCAGTTGCCTCCCGAAAAAGCATCTTTGGGACACCTCACGAAGTTGTTACTGTGAGGAAAACAGGAGGAGGAGCAAGTATTGATATGTTAGCCTCATTGGGTTATTTATAAACAGTAATAAAAGACAGGATAAAAAATAGCATACTCTCCTATCATTGCTGGGTCCAGCCACTAGATTTGGATTGGGCAAGCTTTTCATTCCCTTGGCTTCAGTCTTCTCTCCTACTGACAACTGGGTGGACTGCCCTGGTAGATGAAACTTGCCCACCCTGTATACAATTTGAGTTAAAAGGAGGGTCTCCTTTCAACCCAAATTGTAGGCAGGCAAAAAAACAGGGAGAAAACTTTTCTCTCTCTCTCTTAACTCCCTTTTGGCTTCTGAAGCTGACTGCCTCACCATAAATCAAACTCCTGTCTTTTTCTCAAGTCATCTTTATGTCTCACTTTAAAATCTCTGGCTCCTTTTTTTACTTTTCAGGTTTACTTGTTCAAATTTTGTTTCTTCTCCTCTACTCTATGGATGACTTCCCCAACAGACACACACATCTCTCACAAGGCTCCAGTTCAGATTTCCTTGCAGGTTTGGACTTTGTAGCCTTTTAATCTCATTCCCTGATCTTTATCTCTCTTTGCTCTGATCTGCCCTGGGTAATTACTATCCCTTCACTTCCTAACCCACCCACCCCACTTATTTCCTTGTTCTTTGTGCCACCTACCTGTTTGCAGAAACGGTGCTCATTTCTTCAATTTGGTTACAACCCTTGAGTAATACAAGTAGGCTTTGGTTCAAATTGCTCCTTGCAAGTTGAAAATCAATTCGTCATGGATAAAATTCTAGCCTAAGTTATGTACTGATGTACTAATTTTCTCTTTTGGGAGAAAAATCTAACTGATAAGGTAAAGATAAAAGTTCCCCTCACACATATGTGCTTGTCGTTCCCGACTCTAGGGGGCGGTGTTCATCTCCGTTTCAAAGCCGAAGAGCCAGCACTGATCAATAAATAAATAAATGTAAATAAATAAATAAATAAATAAATGTAAGACTCCATTCCAAAACAATCCCCCTTTGTACAGTCTGATGAGATGTGGTCTATTCTGTTCCTTTATATAATTTCCTTATTTCATTCTGTTTACACCAGCCCTGAGATATCCCAAGAAACAAAGATTTTCACTCCCCCATAATGCATCCAGTCTGCAGAATTTCAAGATGCTGATGGAAATAAATGACACATCCTGAAGGCACTAGTTAGAGAAAAGTACCTTAGATCTACCATCTGTCAGAAGTAGGAAGAATCCGTTGTTTCTTACTATCAAAGTTAGAAGCCACACTACTGCAAGCAATAATAATACTGCATGCAATCAGTGCATCACTTGGTGCAGTATAGTTTAGGTAATACAGGTAGTCCTCAACTTACAACCACAACTGAGCCCAGAATTTATGTTGCTAAGTGAGAAATTTGTTAAGTGAGTTTTGTCCTATTTTATGACTTTTCTTGCCACGGTTGTTAAGTGAATCACTGCAGTTGTTAAATTAATAGCACGGTTGTTAAGTGAATCTGGCTTCCCCATTGACTTTGCAAAAGGTAATCCCATGACTCCGGGACACTGCAACCGTCATAAATGTGAGTTTATCCAAATGTAAATCATGTGACCAAGGGGATGCTGCAAAGGTCATACAGTAAGTGTGAAAAATGGTGATGTCACTTTTTTCAGTGCCGTTGTAACTTCAGTCACTAAATGAACCGTTGTAAATTGAGGACTACCTGTGTACACATCAATATTTAACAGGCAAACTAAGTGTGCTTTCTCAGCAACATTTGGATTATTCCTGGCAAATACTACATTCCTGCTCTCACCAACCAATCATCTGAAACATAAAAGGAAAAAGAAGAAATGGTAAGCTTATACAACTTTACAGAAAAAAAGGCTCCAGGGCTCATGTTTCCTGTAAGCCTTTAAAACCTGCCCATCACATACGTTTTCAGTTGTCCAACAAGGAAATTCATACAAAAGCTTCATAAAAAATATTTAATCAAACTAATAAAATGAAGTAGGGAGAGACTCTCCCACGTGATGGTTCCACATAACAAAGATACTAACAGGAAAGTGTATTTCATTTGGGCTATAAAAATATTAAATAGCAGCAAAAAGTTTACTCTATTCTACTCTACCAGAGGTGGGTTTCAGCAGGTTCTGACCAGTTCTGGAGAACCGGTAGCGGAAATTTTGAGTAGTTCGGAGAACTGGTAGTAAAAATTCTGACTGGCCCTGCCCCCATCTATTCTCTGCCTCCCGAGTCCCAGCTGATCGGGAGGAAATGGGGATTTTGCAGTATCCTTCCCCTGGAGTCGGGTGGGAATGGAGATTTTATAGTATCCTTCTCCTGCCATGCCCACCAAGCCACACCCACAGAATCGGTAGTAAAAAAATTTGAAACCCACCACTGTACTCTACCTAACGTACATCCAAATGAATATAACCCATTTATATATATTACCTGGAATTTGTCTAATTTTGTTGTTGTAGCCCCTTCCCTTTTTTGAGTTTACCCTCCAATGTACTACACAAATATCAACTGGACTTCTCAGCCCCACCCTAAATATCTCAATATGCTCTGGTTTAATGCATCCAGACTCAGTTCCATCTAGGTAGCCTTGATGAGATCTGTGGTCAAGTGAATGAGGAAGTCATGATCAAATTCATACACTCTAGAGCCGCAGGCCAGGGAGCTGTGTCAAGGCAACAGGTTTTTTTTTTTTATGCACTAAAGCAAACAAAACACCTCGAGGTATTTATCATATACAGAGCAGTTTCACAGCACAATATGTTTCACATGCTGGCTCCTGAAAACACTTTTTAGGCCGAGTGCTACCAGGTGAGTCAACCAACTTCCTCTTCTACAGGTGTTAACTCTTAACTTTGAAAGCCGCTATCCCAGGGTATTGTTGAGACCGATTTCAAATTGTTTAAAGGTCCCGAAGTGGAGGAACAGGTAGTATAAAAGGTGGAGTTTAAGGAACTTTAATTTGCTTCCTCCATGGGACTGTGAAAGGTAGAGCAGAAAGCTTATCCTTCCAGAAATATCAGGTTCTCTCTTCCCCAGACATTTCTATTTTGCTTTGCTCAATTTTTTTTTGCTTTTCAACTTTTGGCTAGCAATAAGGACTGCTTCGCTTTGTTCCTGCGTTCTTATCTTTAAGATTTGTTTTTAAAAATACTCACTGCTTTTCTATACTGAAAGTGGTGTGTCTACTTCAAGAGTTTTTATGCAGTCTAGTAGGTCTTACTCCCAGGTAACTGGCTGTGGGATTACAACAAACCTTATTTAAGAGTAATTGTTAGCTACACGGTTCTCATTTTTACATTCCTGAAAAAGGTTTCACTTAATTTATTTTCCCCTTACAGTAGCTCATTCTAAAAAGCTGGGGTATAACATCTTAAATTCTGGGGTGTAAATGTTTAATTTCTTGAAAACAAGTACTGGAGCAGGGCTACCAACTCCTAAATCTGGTACTCCTACCTTGCAGCCAATGTTTCCATATGGTTCAGCTACTAAATAATTCTTCTCTCCAGGCAAGGTGATAATTATTGATAAAGGCTCTTCTGCTAGTTATTTATGGCAAAATTGTTTATGCCACAGGGGAGGGCAATTACATTTTCCCAATAATTTTAAGATGAAAATGTGAATTGAGTGTATTTGCAAGGCGAAGGAGCAGAGGAACAGGAATGAATGCAAACCAAGCTAAATTTCAAGGTGTTTATAATGACCTCTATTGAATTTGAATGTTGCCCATCTCGGCTTTCAAACCTATATACGCTCCATATACTGTAGTTTAGGATGTAGCTGCCCAGAGTCTTGAGAGTTGGGTGGCATACAGCTTTAATAAATTATTATTCATTAAATGTGAGAACACTCTTGCCGAGGTCACATTCCCTGTAATTCTCCATGTAGTAATTAAAAAGTGTTTTTGATCCAGGTATTTTATTTTTTAAATTCCTTCTTTATTCAGTTTCAATTGGCATCCAGTCTTGGGAGCTGTTTTCATAAAATGCCTACCCTTCAGTTTCCAGGGTATGCAAATGGCCATGAAGGGTGGGGTTGGGTTAAAAAAAAGCCAAGATGGCAGCCACATTTTCCCCATCATGGTTGCGATGCACAGATAAGGGTTTCAAAGGGCCACCCAGGGGTGAAATCCAACAGGTTCTAACAGGTTCTGGAGAACCGTTAGCGGAAATTTTGAGTAGTTCAGAGAACCGGCAAATACCACCTCTGGCTGGCCCCAGAGTGGGGAGGGAATGGAGATTTTGCAATATCCTTCCCCCAGGAGTGGGAGGGAACGGAGATTTTGCAATATCCTTCCCCTGGAGTGGGATGGGAATGGAGATTTTGCAATATCCTTCCCATGCCATGCCCACCATGCCAGGCCCAGAGAACCGGTAGGGAAAAATTTTGGATTTCACCCCTGGGGCCACCATCTGGATTTCCTTTGAGCTCTCATGGATAAACCCTTGAAACCAGATGGCTGCCTGGCCTCATTCCATTTCGTATTATTTTTAAGATTCTGAGCTTCAGTATGGAAAGGAAAGGCATCCTGTCTGTTGTGAAGGAACCTATCGGCCTCCACTATCAAGTTTATTTCTTGATTCAAAATAAGCCTTTCAACAGCTTATTGTTTAGGAAATTAAGATGGTAGGGGCCTGTAGCCTGAACAAAAGATGGAGGTAGGCTGAGAGTTGATAGAGAATACCCTAAGAGGTTAAAAAATGTGACAAGGAAATTTGCCCAGATATATCCTTGCAAATATAGTGTCTTTGGTCCATGGGGAAGCTCTCCTGAATGGCAACCATGTTTTTGAATGCCTTCAACGTGCTTCTTAACTATTAATGTGCCAACCGGTCCCAAACTGTTCAAGTTCTCTCTCTTAAATTATCTCAAGAGTCTTGGATTCGAGTCATACACTCAACCAGCAATTTAACACACAGGTTGACTTATGGTGAGTCAGAATTAACTCTCACACAGCCAATTGGACAGTTACAAAAACGATGGAGCAGGGCAGCCCAGACACAGGATTGGCACCAAAAGTCTTTTCTGTAGGACTGGAAGTTAAAAAAAATAAAATAAATACAAGAGGGTTTCTCCACATTTCTTGTTTAATATTTATTTACAGGCTTTATAGGTTGCATGGTTGTTCCTGACTTGTTTTTGAGTTACATCAGGTGTTGAGATTTGCTAATGTGGCTTCTAGTTTTCTTCAAGAAATGATACTTATTTGAAGTTTTTTGGTTTCTGCTAAGCCAGCTGAAGTGGTTCTTTTTTTTTTAAAATATTTTTTTTCTTTTCGTTTTCTTTAAAAACAAGAACAGAAACAAACACAAAACATAAATTCCCATTTTACAACAATTTCATATCGGTGTTCTTCAGTGGTGAAATCTAAAATTTGTTACTACCGGTTCTGTGGGCATAGCTTGGTGGGGGGTAATGTGACTGGGTGGTGTGGCTTTTTTTTTTTTTTTTACTTTTAAAACCATTTTTTCTACAACCTCTTTGGCGAAGAGGTTGTAAAAAAATGCTTTCAAAAGGCTCTGACGATCCCAGCTGAGTTGCCTGATCTGCAGAGGCTTTTTTTCTTTTAACTGCTACTTCAGCTGACTGCTAGTTCAGCAGATCAGCGGATCAAATCTCACCAGCTCAAGGTTGACTCAGCCTTTCATCCTTCCGAGATGGGTAAAATGAGGACCCAGATTGTTAGGGGGCAATATGCTATTTAGTATACTGTCTTTGGTATAAGCCGCCCAGAGTCCTCGGAGAGTGGGCGGCATAGAAATATGACAAATAAATAAATAAATAAATAAATACATATATACATACATACATACATATAACTATATATATTCAATACATAACAGGTTATGTCCCAGCAGGAGCTAGCATTCAGATGAACTTGCCTGGGCATGGAACTCAGCCTGGCTAGAACTTGGATGGGAGACCACCTGGTGATCCTGTGGCATTAGACCAAAATAGGTTAAAATAGTATATGAAAGAAGGCAGAATCCAGTGGTTTCATATTGTTGCCACAAAAATACCAGGCCTGAGTTCATTGAATTGCTAGCAGTCAAACTCTGCTTGAGAGCATTTTACCCTTACATGTCAAAAAAGCAGTTGGCCAAGCTTCTTCTACATGATAGTCCTATTTCATTGTCACATTGTCAAAAAGAGCCATTTTATTGCTTAGTCTGCTACCCTGAGCCGTACAGTGATGTACTTGGTGCCCCACCATGTACAGTGGGTTCTCCAATGATAGCTGCCTATACTTCCTTATTATATTAGAGCAGGGGTATTCACAGCAAAAAAATGTTAGCAGGCATTATGGGTGTTGTAGTTCAACATATCTGGAGGGATGATCCTGGTTTACAGAAGATTACCTTCTCTTTGGGGAACACTGGATCTTATCAGACTGGCAGCAATGCTTGAAGAGATGAAAGCTTTGTTTTTGAAAGAGGAGGAGCTGACTGTCAAGAAGGAGGACTTTTATTTGTTGACATAATCTGAATGCTACAAGGAAATGAACCCTGTTTGCAAATTATTTATAATCCAAAGAAAGAATGCCCTGTCCCATGAATCACTTATTTCTTTCCAAGAGAGCAGACAAATCATGCAATCAGGATCCCTTGCCTCATTTCTTCCATTCTCAAGAACAGAGAATCTACTGGTGGCGCAGTAGTTAGAATATAGTATTGCAGGCTAATTCTGCTGACTGCCAGGGGTTCAATCCTCATCAGGCTCAAGGTTGACTCAGCCTTCCATCCTTCTGAGGTCAGTAAAATGAGGACCAAGATTGTTGGGGAGGGACCATATGTAGCATATGATATGCTGACTCTGTAAACCCCTTAGAGAGGGCTGTGAAGCACTGTGAAGTGGTATATAAGTGCTATTGCTATTTCTCAACTTTGGCAACTTTAAGATCTGTGGACTTCATCTCCCAGAATTCCTTTCTTTGCCTGGGTCAAATTATCATTTATGTGTTAAGCTGCCAAATTTCTTGGACAGTTAACCTTTGCTCTCTTCCCAGGCTCGCAGGCTCCTTTCTTACAGTCGTCATCCACATTAGATAGCTTTGAATAATGAATATTGCTTTTTTTTAATTCATAGGATCAAGAGGTTTGTCTCTCTGAAAGAACTGAACTGGGATTTGATCTTGTTCATCTTCTCGATCTCCCTGGCCAGGTACCGTTCAGATATGTTGGGTTAGTGATATATCCTTGCTAATTTGCATGCTGCTCAGGTAGTTCAAGCTGTGGAATCACTGAAGACAGATGCTCAGTTGTTCTCAATCCTCAGGGAGGGCCATTGCCTTGCCTTGCCTTGCTTTTTCTTTTCCTCCCTTTCTCCTTTCCTCCCCCTTTCCTCTTTTTCTTTCCCCTTTTTCTTTCCTCCTCTTTTCTTCCCTCCTCTTTTCTTTTCTTTCCTCCCTTCTTTCCTTTTCTCTCCTTTTTCCTTTCATCCCCCTTTCTTTCCTCCCTTTTTTGCTTTCCTTTCTTTTTCCTTTCCTCCCCTCCCCAACCTTGCCTTTCCTCTTTTTCCTTTCCTTCCTTTCCCCTTTCCTCTCATCCTTTTTTCTCTCCTCTCCTCTCCTTCTCCCCCCCACTTTCCCCCTCCTTAGTGGTGAAATCCAATTTTTTTTTACTACCGGTTCTGTGGGTGTGGCTTGATGGGCATAGTATGGCTTGGTGCAGTGGTGGGTTCCTCCTGGTTCGGTCCGGTTCGGCCAAGCCGGTAGCGGTGACGATATGATGTCACCGAACCGGATCTCCCCTCCCACCCTCCCACCCCCCCACATTATTCTTACCTTTTATTTGGTCCCACCCCCAATCTATTGCTGCCTCCTGAGTCCCAGCTGATGACTAGAGGGAAAAAAACTGTTTAAACTCTTGCCGCGGGGCTTCAAAGGGCCGTCCTACAGCTGATCAGTGTTAAAAGGAAACAAATGCGTCGGGTCGTAAGTGCGAGGACTGGTCGTAAGTGCGAGGACCTTCCAGAAATGACTCTGACCAGCTAGCCATGCCCACCTAGTCACATGACCTCCAAGCCACACCCACAAAATAAGCCACGCCCACAGAACCGGTAGTAAAAAAATTTAGAACCCATCCCTGGCTTGGTGGGCATGGTAGGGGAAGGATATTGCAAAATCCCCATTCCCAACCCACTCCTGGGGCCAGCCAGAGGTGGTATTTGCCGGTGCTCCGAACTACTCAAAATTTCTGCTACCGGTTCTCCAGAACCGGTCAGAACCTGCTGGATTTCACCCCTGCCCCTCCACCTCACATCAAAGCAAATTCTTTCTTGAGTCAACTGTCAACTCCTAGAGACTTCCTAGCCATGTTCATCTGGTTTTTCCTGTCAAGAATAAGAAAGGGGGGTTGCTGGACTTCTATTCACATAGAGTTCTGCTTTTGTACTTTTCAATCCTAATGTTATGGCTTTTGTCATGTAACCTATAGATTTCATGAAGCTGTTCTTCTGAGGATTTGAAATGGAGTCTATTGAGAAAGCAAGAAATCACCACCACAGAATGGAGCAGATGCCAAAAGGAGAAACGTCACAGGTAAAGGCAACATCCGTACTTCCCTTCTCCTTTGCAAAATACTGTTTCATGAGGACCGGTCATTATTATTCCATATTAATAATATCCAATATTATTGGATATTTGGGGGGCGGGAAATCAGGGGTGTTATTCAGCAGATTCTGACAGGTTCTGGAGAACCGGTAGCGGAAATTTTTAGTAGTTCGGAGAACCGTCAAATACCACCTCTGGCTGGCCCCAGAGTGGGGTGGGAATGGAGATTTTGTCATATCCTTCCCCCAAGAGTGGGGAGGGAATGGAGATTTTGCAGTATCCTTCCCCTGCCACACGCACCAAGCCACACCACGCCCACCAAGCTACGCCCACAGAACCGGTAGTAAAAAAATTTGAATTCCATCACTTGGGGGTGGGGATAGTCTGAGGGCATCCATGGGAGGAAGTCCATATAAAAAGGAGTGTCAGGGCCTCAATGACATGGTCACAGCTACTATCTTGACTTGTTTAACCATTTCCCATTATAGAGACCTTAGATCAGGGGTTTGCAACCTTAAACACTCAAAGAGCCATTTGGACCTTTTTCCCACAGAAAAGAAAACACCGGGAACCACAAAACCCTTCCCGTGCCTGACGATTTCTTGAGTGGCCACAAAACTAGCATATGTAGTTGAATTAAACGTTCTGTTTTCTTCTGAAAGTTTTCTTTTCTTGGATTTATCCATGGTTGGCCTACCCAGGGTTGAAAAGCTCAATAAATCACTTGCCAGCGGGTGTCGCACATTGGCGGCTGTGACACATATTTTGAATGACACGGAGCCGTAGCAGAGATGTGAAAGAGCCACATGCGGCTCCAGAGCCGCAGGTTGCTGACCCCTGCCTTAGATGGTATATTTCTCAAAACACCACTCTCACAAGCCTATTAACTAAGTCACTCCAAACTTGGGAAACTTAAGAAGCCTTTGCTGAGTTTTTGTCCCGAAACTTAGCCCAGGAATGTGTTATAGGTAGGCCTCAACTTACGACCACAATTGGGGCCACAATTTTGCTGCTCTCAGTGAATTATTCCTAGTTTTATTACCTTTTTTGCCATGGTTATTAAGTGAATCATTGCCATCGTTAAGCGAATCGCATGGTCAAATCCAACGTCCCCCATTAATTTTGCTTGTGGGAAACCCTGCTGGGAAGGTTGCAAATGGTGACCACCTGACTCCAGGAACTTGTAACCATTGTCATAATATGTTGGTTGCCATCCGCTCAAATTTTAATCACATCTCCATGGAGATGTTGTGATGATTGTTAAGTGTGAGTATTGGGTGATAATCATTTTTTTACACTGCCCTTGTAACTTCAAACAGTTGCTAAGTAAATGGCTGTAGGTTAAGGACTACCTATAATTATGTAAATACTGTACAACAGATTTTAGAGACGAGGCCTGAACCAGTTCTGCCCTGCAATTCTCCACACAAAAGTAATAGAGCACGGGTGTCAAACTCAAGGCCTACACCAGTGTTTCTCAACCTTGGTAGCTTGAAGATGGGTGGACGCTGCTGGCTGGGGGATTCTGGGAGTTGAAGTCCACCCATCTTCAAGCTTCCAAGGTTGAGAAACACTGGCCTACACCAAACTGGCAACTTCCAAATACGTTGAGGCTGCCAGGCAAAGAATTCTGGGAACGGCAGTTCTGAAGTATTTAGAAGAAAGCAGACAGAAAGCTGCCATATATATTTTCTTAATTGAATTTAGATCCTGACGTTAGTTATTTTTATAAAGGAGTGCAGGTATCTGATCTTTTTCATAGTCTATCTGTCCAATAATAAGTGGCTTTTTATCCCCAATGAAAAATTGGTAATCAGAGATAATTATATGTATGGTGTGGAATAGATGCAGAGCGCACCAAAGTGATGGCTATTTATTTTTTATAAAGCAGTTAATCAGTCCATTGGGGAATGCTATGTTGGCACAAAAGAGGTTTGCCAGAGTTCTCCTATGAGGGAAGAAAGCACTAAGTAGTCATACTGATGTCTAGTTATATAAAAGCCAACTGTCCATTATTACAATTATTACGGTATAATTATTTTAATTATAATTGTTACAACACTGATTGGAGCAGGGAGTGTTTTCTGGGGTCCTATTTTGTGTTCTCTGGTGTGCAATCTAATAGGCATATAATTTGTCATGTACATTCCTGACACAGTTTTTCACTGTCCTATCCTTCCACAGTGAGTTGGACGTGTGTTTGACTAGTCCACAGTACAGAGGTGTTTCAGCAGGTTCTGACCAGTTCTGGAGAACCGGTAGCGGAAATTTTGAGTAGTTCGGAGAACCGGTAGTAAAAATTCTGACTGGCCACGCCCCCATCTATTCTCTGCCTCCCGAGTCCCAGCTGATCGGGAGGAAATGGGGATTTTGCAATAACCTTCCCCTGGAGTGGGGAGGGAATGGAGATTTTACAGTATCCTTCCTTTGCCACGCCCACCAAGCCATGCCACGCCCACCAAGCCACACCCACAGAACCGGTAGTAAAAAATGTTAAAACCCACCACTGCCACAGTACTTACATTGCACATGTCCAGTACCACACAGATATGGCATAAAACTCAAATGAGCAATGATAAGGTGTCTGAAGGAAAGGACAGCAGCCAAGTAATTTCTTCTGGCTGAGGGACAGAGGCTGAGGTGAAGGCACAGGATAGTATTCAAGGCCACAGTAGCAAATGTGAGGAAGTAGAAGTCAAACCAGGGGTGGGATTCAGCCAGTTCGGATCTGTTTGGGCGTACCGGTAGCTCCGACGATCAGGTAGGCCCGTCCAGCCGCCCCTGCGCACTTTACTTACCTTTATCCTCTCACCTGATTCGTGCGGCAGAGCGGATTGCTGTGCCTCAGCTGTGTTAGTTCCCAGAAGTAACGCAGAAGTTTAGTTTTGTCAAAACTGCGCATGCGTGCACAGCAAAATACACAATCGCAGAACTGGTTGTTAAACTGGCAGGATCCCACCACTGAGTCAAACCCTATTTGGAGGCTCAACCAGCTCAACCTCTAGGCTCAACCTAGAGAATGGGATGTAAGCGCTCGCCTCACTCTCTTCCTTCCCACTTTTAAACAAGAGATCTACAACTTGCATTTTCTTTAAGTATGTTATTCACAAAATCAAAGACCTTCCTTTATTAGGCTCTTAGATTGTCTGAAGAGCTTGTATTCAAATCAATGCAAAGAGACCTCCCTTTCAGACCACCAGCTGAACATAGGGAAAGTAGGGAGTCAGGTATGACAACAGGTATATCAACCAGTCTTTGAATTGACAATGAAGACATTCAAGTGGTGAATAGCTTCTGCTGTTTAGGATCAACTATCAAACAAGGAATTAATTCTCAGCCCTTTGAGGTAGACCAGACTAGGAAACCCACATCATGCATACTAATGCTATTTTCATTATAAGATTGTAGTAAAAGAATCTTGCAAGTCTGAATGTACCTCCTCCCTTTATTGTCATGAGAATTAGAAAGGTCTTATCTGAGAAGCTTTCTCGAATTACAGTTCTAGTCTGGACTTGAATTTCTTTTAGCCTGACTATTTTGGTAGCGGCTCTTCCTCCTGTTCCTCAGGGTTATTCCTTCTTCCCATTATAGCAATTCAAGGCATATGCTTGGTTGACCAATACTTGGTAGAATAGCTATGAAGCCCTTAGGAAAGATGCTCAGATGCTGAGCTATAACTATATCTAGAATATCAGAATTGTACAAGTGATACATCATACATCATCTTGCAACTAGCCAGATACGTGAAAAGTGACCTTCGAGAAGGCCTTTTATATTAAATTTTCTAATTTTGCCATTAGTTGATTCCGGGACTTAATCCTGAAGGGTCCTCAAAAGAGGATGAAGATTTCCTTTCTGAACTGAATCCAGAAGAAAAAGAATGTCTGGAGTTCTTGATTCAGACAATCAACAATTTGGATAAGGAAATCTCAGAAGACGATGAGTGGAGTCATGAGAAAATGGAAGGATCTCTAGGTAAAGTTATATAGTACCAATAGTTTGTTTACATGGATCCCTGGGCACTATCAATTAACCAATTGGCTGGGGGAGCAAGCCTTTGAATGTCAAACATGGTCTTTCCCTAAATATGATTTGGCCAATTTTGTTTCAATCAGCACAACTACCTTCCTCCTTTTCTACCTTTTACCCAACAAAAAGAGGTAATACACTGCCTTTCCAGGTCAGTGTTATTCTTGTCATTCTGTGGCAGATTTTCCCAACATTTAGACTGTAGTTGTCACTTTTCATTCATGCAGTCCTGCAGGTTGTGTGCACAGGTACAAGTATTCCTTGAGTTACGAATAGTCACTTAGCGACCGTTCAAAATTATGACACATCTTGAAAAAGTCACTTATGATCTGGATTTAAAGTACCAACATCCAGGCCTCCACTGTGGTCACACAACCACATTTTGGGCAGTTGGCGATTGGCACTCATTTATGGCCATTTAGAGAATTCCACAGCCAAGTGACTGTGATTTATATGATCTTTTTTTTTTTGCCCAGAATCTGACGTTTTTCCAGTTTCTGGCAAAAAATGTTCCATAGCTAAGAATGGCTTTGTTTAACGACCATGGTGTTTGTTTAACAACTTCTGTAAAAAATGGTTGTAAAATCAGGCATGGTCATATGGTGCCCATCACAACTTACGACCAAAATAGCACTCGATTATGTTGTAAGTCGATTATTTGTACTCCTCTCTATGGTAGACAAAATCAGTAGCTACATATTTCCAATCAGTATCACCTCTCTGCTTTCTGCCCCCATTCTGCATATGTTTACGGATGAACATCACGTCGGAAGAGTTACATGGCAACCACTCCAGTTGCCATGTAACACGTGAGTGATCTTCCATGACTAGATAGAATAATTGAAAAACAACTTTCTGTCTCTCTGTTCCCTATAGCAACCCCCCCCCCACTTTTTATACTTCTAATAATCTGACTCTATGTCAATTGCATGTACAGGTACTCAGGTCCAATGTCAGCATCATGTCATCTGCAGCATGCAGCAACAAAGTACATTTGAGGAAAATGCCCCGGTGAAAAATGGTCCCTGCCCAGCAGTTGCTAAAAGTAAAATGATCAAGTCCCGTTCAGAGGAGTCCGATGAAGTCACTTTGAGGAGATGGTCTGATCCTTATCATCCTCGAGCCAAACTTCCTGCTAAATCAGCCAACTCTCACCCCACCCACTCAAAGAAGTTTGACACCATACTGAAGTCAGGAGTCAACGTTCAGGAACTCCGCTTACGTTTCTTGCACCACCTCGACAATTCTGCCTCTGCCAAGCAACCGGCAAACGATACCGTGAGACTTTTGTCCGATAGTCAAAGATCTACACGGGATGAAGCAATGGAGAAGCTGGGCTTTCTTCAGAGAGACAAAGCTTTTCTGAACGCACGTCAACACATCCCGTGTTCTGAAAGGCCAGACAAAGAGGCAACTGCAGGTTCCACCCACACACTTAAGAAGTATCCATAACCGTTGCTCCCGTCCAGGAAGAGATGCTTTCTTAAACCAGCTGAAAGCCAAGCAAGAACATCTCTTCTGATATGGTATTGAACAAAACAATCCTTTTTGTTGGATTATCTTCTGCAAAATGCTAGTAGACCAGAATACGGAACCTGTAATGTACTGTTTGTGGCAATGTATTTAACAGCATTTCTTGTATTATTATTATATTTTTTTTGCACAGAGCATCTCATTATTGGTACAATAGTTAGTTGAGATACATCATGTTGACTTTTAATTCCATTTCTAAACTTTTTAATGTTGCTCCCTTAACCCCTGGAGCAATGAAAGAGATATTTTGTGAAAACGGAGACCAGTTTCCTTCCTTCAGACTCAACCTAATACTTTTACTTATAAGATCAAAGCAAATGCACTCAAGGTCACAGGGTGCTTTTGGTCTTAGCTTTTACTAGGCAGTCTCCTGGTCTTCTTCCTCGAATTATATACAGGATGAAAACAATATTGTTTTCTAGTCAGCACTTCCTATGTTTTGCTAGCGCAACTTCCAACATTGTCATTTCTACAGATCGTGGGAGGGGAACCCGAAGCAATGCATTGTTAAGATCCAGTAGTGGGTTTCAATTTTGGCCGCTACAGGTTCGCTCATGGGCACATGCGCACTCATGCACGCATGCAACGTTTCTGCGCATGTGCAAAGACATCCGGGAGGGTGGGCAGAGCCTCCCGCCACCACCGCTACCAGTTTGCCCGATCTGGGGAGAACCAGTAGCAACCCACCACTGCTAAGATCCCTTTAACTATTCAAGAGCAGATCTCTTTTGAATGTTATATTTGGCTTGTGTGAGTCTCTGGCACAAATTGGAACATAAATATCCCTCTGCAGCAGAGATCGGGAGGAATAGCTGCCAGGTCTCTAATGAAGAACATCGTATTTCCTTCATAATGGATCCATATATTCTAACTGATGCTACAGCCAACTACTGTTTTCATTAGGAAGCAATGTCTTTTTTTTTTTTTTTACAAAAATAAGATTTTATTTCCTTATTACCTTTTTTAAAATTCTACAAAATACCCAAAGGGGAACTTCAATCAAAAAACATAGACATATACGAAAGCTATTGCCTACTAATTTTGTGTTAATATTAGCATCACTTTTGGAAATGTTCTACAAGGAAAACTCTATTACATGTTGATTAGTTTTCAGCTTTCTGAACAATAACGGTGCATTATCATATCATATTCCTGTGAGAGAAATCAATTAAATATTCAGTTTTCCATTAATTTATTGCTTTTTCTTTTCTTTTCTTTTTTTCAGTTTAACATGTTACGTTTCCAATGGTGGAAAGTGCACATTTTTAGGTAAATAAGTTATATTAAAGCAATCCAACTTTGTGGATCTTGAAAAAGCTATGCCAACTTGGATGGGAGACCAATAAAAAATACATCTCTATAATGTAAAATTAACTTGGAAATGAAAAAAAAATCCAGACGGTAATGGCGTAATACCTCTATACAATTGCCCAAGAAAACTATAACTACTGTTTTGTACAGGTGGTTCTCGACTTAGCCCAAAATTTCTTTTGCTAAAGGAGACATATGAGTTTTGCCCCATTTTATGACCTTTCTTGCTACAGTTGTTAGAGTGAATCACTGCAGCTGTTAAGTTAGTAACACAGTTAATTTTTTTTAAATTTGATTTATATGCCGCCCTTCGGAGACTCAGGGTGGCCTACAATGCGTTAAGCAATAGCCTTCATACTTTTATACAAAGTCAGCTTATTGCCCTCACAAACGGGGTCCTCAATTTACCTACCTTAGAAAGGATGGAAGGCTGAGTCAACCTTGAGCCTGGTGAGATTCGAACTTACAGTAATTGCAGACAGCTGGTGTTAATCAGCTGGTGTTAATCACAATGCTATTAGTCTGCTGAGCCACCAGGCCCTTGAATCTGTCTTCCCCATTGACTTTGCTGGTCAGGTTGCAAAAGGGGATCACATGACCCCAGGACACTGCAACCGACATAAATAAGAGCCAATTGCCAAGTGTCTGAATTTAGATCCTATGACTGTAGGGATTGCTGCAATGGTCATAAATGTGAAAAACAGTCATAAGACACCTTTTTTTCAGTGTTGTAATTTTGAACCTCACTAAATGAACTGTTGGGGACCGTAGACTGGGAAAATGTAGAAACATTTCGATGGCATGGGATCAGGGGTGAAATGCTCCCGGTTTGGACCGGTTCAGCCGATCCGGTAGCGATCGTGGCGGGTGGTTTGGAGAACCGGTAGCGATGGCGGTGTGAGGCTCCGCCCACCTGCCCAGTTGTCGTAATGTGTTTTTTACCCTCTGCCCTTGCGCAGAAGGTTTTGCGCATGTGTAGAGGGTCTGTGTACACATGTGATGCGCGCAAGTGAAGCAAGCGCACACTTCCGAACCGGTAAGGAAGGTAAGTAGATTTCACCCCTGGATGGGATGACCCTCTACAATATAACATTTAAGAAATGAGCCAGGGCATTGTACAATAAAAGACTTATATAAACAGCCATCACTTTTTGACTGCAGCATTTTTTGTTGTGAAGTTTAGTCTGCTAAATCAGATTAAATTATTCTCACTGATTTGTGTTCAGTCCATGAGAACCCAAGGCTATGCTTGATCCTTAATAACTTTAAAGGTATCCAGATAAATCAGGTTGGAACTTCATCTAGTCTAGCATTCTGTGCCATACAAGAGCCAGCCAGATCGATTGGCTTCTTCCATTGTCAGCATCTGGTATTTGAAGTACATGGCTTGTGATTCAAAAGACAATATAGCAGCCATCTATAACAGTGTTTCTCAACCTTGGCAGCTTTAAGATGGGTAGACGTCAACTGACATCCACTCACCTTAAAGCTGCCAACGTTGAGAAACACTGATCTATACACTGTGTGCACAATTATTAGGTAAGTTGTATTTTGGAGGGTTAATTTTATTATTGAACAACTACAGTGCTCTCAGTCAATCCAAGATGTTAATAAACCACAAACCTGAATATTTAAGAAAGTAAAAGTGAGGTTATGGCTTTCTTAAGAGAATATCCAGGGATGGGCTGCTGGGGGTTCACAGGGGTTCAGGAAAACCTCTAGCTAAGATTCTGTGTAGTTCAGAGAACTCCCAAATCCCACTCCTGGTTGGCCCTGCCCACCCTGCCCCGTGTCAGCACTTCAAACTACATTCGTTCCAGTGCTGACATAAAGAAGAGAAGAGGGGGCAGCTGGCAAGAGGACGCTTGACTTTTCACCTACTTATTTTCCCTGAAGATAATATCCCCTAGGAGATGGGTTGGGAGGGGGGACATTCCTGGGAGCTGAAGTAGTAGATATGGGGAGAGTGATTTGGAAGATGGCCAATGAGACGCAAAGAATTGGGGAATGGAAAGGGAAGGTTTGGGGTCAGGAAGTCAGTGTTGGCTACGACAGATTGTCGTGCTTAATAAATGAAAGATTTCATCAAAGACTATTTGTTTGGAAATGCAATTTATTTGAGATGACATCGAAACCTGACACCCCACCCATCCCAGGAGTCCCCATGCAGCACATTTTGGATGCAGGTAAGTGCAGAGCGCTCGGGGGTGGCCCAAGGAGGGCGAAAAATGGGCCTATCGGAAGTTCAGGAAGAAAGTATCGGAGCAGGGCCTTCAGAGTCTGAGGAGGCCGTTTTCGCCCTCCCGGAGGCTTGAGGAAAGTCTCTGGAGCCCGGGGAGGGCAAAAACGCCCCCCCCGCCATGGTGCAGGAGGCCAACTAAGCCATGCCCACCCCCACCCAGCAACCAGGCAGAGAACCCCTTGCTAAAATTTTTGAAGCCCACCCCTGAGAATATCTATGTGTGCACAATTATTAGGCAACTATTAGTGTGCAGAATTATTATGTAACTAATTGAAAAATGAAAATTTGCCCATCTCTATTTATTTATCTGTTAAAGTGAGAATAATAAACAACTCAAAATGTACAAATAAACATTTCTGACATTTCCAAAAAAAAAAAAATCTGATCAATATCCCCACTCTTCTTTTCAATAATAGTCATTCATGGTGTCTGGTCAGTTTCTTGATCTGTTGACGATCAACTTTTTGTGCAGCAGCAACCACAGCCTCCCAGACACTGTTTGAAGAGGTGTATTGTTTTCCTTCACCGTAAATCTCTTGTTTAATAAAGGCCCACAAGTACTTAGTGGGGTTTAGGGCAGGTGAAGAAGGGGGCCATGACATTCTTTTATCATCTTTAAGGCCTTTACTGGCTAGCCACACAGTGGAATACTTTGATGAATGTGTTGAGCATTGTCCTCCATAACAGTCATGGTCTTCTTGAAAGATGCAGACTTTTTCCTGTACCACTGCTTGAAGAAAGTGACTTCTAAAAACTGGCAGTAGGCTTGGGAGTTGATTTTGAGTCCATCTTCAACCCCAAAAGGTCCAACTAGCTCATCTTTAATAATACCAACCCCTATTAGTACCCCACCTCCACCTTGCAGGCATCTGAGTCGAAGTGGAGCTCTGTGCCCATTACTGATCCAGCCACAGGCCCATCCATCTGGTCCATCAAGAAGAGTCACTCTCATCTCATCAGTCCATAAAACCTTTGAAAAATCTGCCTTCAGATATTTCTTGGCCCAGTCTTGTTGTTTCAACTTATGTATCTTGTTCAGTGGTGGTCAGGTTTCAGCCTTCCTTACCTTGGCCATGTCTCTGAGCGTTGAACACCTTGTACCTCTGGGCACTCCAGGTAGGTTGCAGTTCTGGAATATGACAGCACTGGAAGATAATGGATTCCTGGTAGTTTCAGATTTGATTCTTCTCAAATCTTTAGCAGTTAATGTGTGTCTTTTCTTGCAACCCTGTTGACTATTTGCAACAAAACATTTGATAGTTCTGTGATCACGCCCCAATATCTTAGCAACTTCAAGAGTAGCTGCGTCCATCTGAAAGACTTTTTACAACGTTTGACTTTTCAGAGTCAGATAAATCTTCTTTTTTGGCCCATTTTGTCTGAGGAAAAGAAGCTGTCTAATAATTATGCACAACTTTATATAGGGTGTTGAACTCCTTAGGCTACACCCTCCCTCAAAAACAAAAACAGGGCAACAATTTTTGAACCAAGGTACCTCAAATGGGCTAAACTACAGACTATGTCCAAAATCTCGGGCCTGTAAGTCCTGTGGAACTGAAATCTGGCCAATTTTTAAAAACCGTTTATGACACAGCAATTATTATAAAAGAGTTTATGACATAATGCAAAATGTTTCCTGTACTGATCTTTGTGCTGTACATTTCAACACGGGCTATTTTCAAGGCAGCTACATCTTTGAATGTATCCCAACATTTCCCCTGAAGCTCTGTGGTTGTTGAAGGCTTTAAGGAATCTGATAAGGAAATACCTCTGAGTCATGCCTAACAACTGACTATGTTTATGCATAATCCATAGGTCAGATGTGATGAGTTTTCCCATGACAGGTGAGCGAGACAGGATTTGACTCATACAGGATTAATAATTAAAACATGTGACAAATGCACATCTGAAGGCATCCATGAGCATTAGACTCTATCTCCATTGCCATACCACTTTCTTGAGGTTTAACTTTCAAGGATTCTAATGGTTATTCCAATTGTGAGAAATGACAGTGAGAGGGAGGGAAAATTAGACGACCTTAAAGGTGCACAAGCGGAGTTGTACAGGTGGTTCTCTCGTGATGCATGGGTGGTACAAACCCCTTATTTATTTATTTATTTATTTATTTATTTATTTATTTATTTATTTATTTATTTATTTATTTTATATCAAATTTATATACCGCCCTTCTCCCTGAGGACTCAAGGTGGTGTACAGCCAAATAAAAACATAGACTACAAACATTAAAATACTATTAAAAAGATATATATAAATTTGGCCCCGTAATTAAAAAACAACAATAAACAATAAATAAATAATAACAATAAACAATAACAATAAAACATTTAAAAGTGTTAAGCCAGCCCGGCTTGCTGAAAAAAGAAAGTTTTAAGGGCACGGCGGAAGGCACCGAGGTCTTCGATTCTCCTTATCTCTGGGGGCAGTTGGTTCCAGAGGGTAGGTGCCCCCACAGAGAAGGCCCTCCCCCTGGGGGTCACCAGCTACATTGTTTGGCTGATGGCACCCCAAGGAGGCCCTCTCTGTGGGAGCGCATAGGTCGATGGGAGGCCGTCGGTAGCAGCAGATGGTCTCGAAGATATCTAGGTCCTATGCCATGGAGCGCTTTAAAGGTGATAACCAACACCTTGAAGCGCACCCGGAAGACCACTGGGAGCCAGTATTGTCAACATGTGAAGGGATTTAGAATGATAAAATGTAAGAATTGGAAGGGTTAGGGTCTAACTCCCTGTCCAATGAGGGCTCTTCAACTACAGCTATTATGTACACAATGCCAGTATTTACTAATG